GGAGGCCGCAGAGTACTGTACAGAAATTACCAGGTTTCCTTGCGTTCTGTGACAGGAAAGGGAAGCCTGGCGCAGGAAAGACAAAGCAACAAGCACATGATACAGGCAGCGCCAGCCGGCCTGGAGGTAACCATGGTAACGCTCGCGCAGCCCCTCCACCACCTGGAAAAACCTTAAACCCGCCTCTGGAAACCGATGCAACTCCACCATAGATAGAAAACAAGGTACACAGTCCTTTCGTCGCTTCCGCGTTACCATAGAGCACGTACAAAATTGTAGAGAGTGTCCTCTGGCTCCGCCAAATGGAGGGAGTCAGTCCCGCTCCTGGTCTCGTATCGTACCTTCCCAGCCGCCCCGCGCCGTCGGCTTAGTTCCTTGTAACGGCGACCTCGCGGTCTTGTAAATTTTCCCAAAGCCATCAGAGCCCTCCTTCTCCATGAGGAATAGCCAAAGCTCATAATAGTTCCATGCCACTTCGAACAAAAAACACCCTCAGAAATACTCCCCCCCCCCCCCCCCCGGCATCCGAATAGCAAGCGATGCCCCAAGTCGCTGGAACCAAATTTTCAGCAGTTTCTGGGTGTCTGTGAACTTAAGCCTGAAAGTGATTTTTACGGCGGTATTAGCCCCCCACTACCTGGCATAATATCTTTAAGCATGTGCAGAGAGCTTGGGAAGAGGACTTTCAGTGCTTTCCAGAACAGTAAGTAGGGCTCATGCATTTCGGATGGCTTACTTTGCTCCATAAACCTAGCCGTAAAATGGCTGCAGCAAAGTCTCAGGATTCCCTTTTTTAAAAAACCGATTTATAACGGCAAGTCAAAACTAGATTATTATTTATATTAAGAAAAATTCAATCATTTTTTCTTTTATTTACATCCATTGTAAACCACAATTCTATAATTTTAATATTCATGACCATATTCATCTGTTCTTGTGTACTTCCCATTTTAATTTTGCTATTGTCTTCTGGTTATATAGCGACGGGTAACCTGCAGCTTTCTAGATGATGCAAAATTACAGTTCTCGTTCATAACCATTGAGCATACTGGCCCTCAACACGTAGAGGACCACAGGTTCCCTTGCCCCATTTTAAAATGTGCAGTTTTAAAAATTAAAAATCAGCTGCCACTAAATTGTGTCTGAAATTGCTTACTTAGAAATTGCTCACTATTTATATCAATGAAGTATGGAAACTATGTATACTTATTTATAGTGCACCACCCCAAACAGTTTATAATTATATCCACTAATTTTATCCATAATCCGTATTATCTAAATTACAGTCACAACAAGCAGAGAATAGTAAGAGCTCGGGTCCCATATTAATGAGCATAATATAAAAATAAAGCATTTAGCAAGCTTTAGGAAAAGAGATTAAAAAATGGGGAGAAGAAATAATAAACCAATTAGCTGAAGGAAAATTGATAATTTCTTGGTCCCTGAAACACCTGGGTGCTTCTCCATGTGATTCTGCACTAATCTGGAAACACACTAGATTTCTGTGTACTCATGATGCCAACAGTGCCAAAGAGCTGAGCTAATTTATTCTGATTCAGCTGCAGCTTGGTTTAGTTAGTTGAAACTCCTGGGAAACCAGTGGCTTTCTTTCCTCATTGGAAAGATCCCTACTCCTGTCTCCTGAGCTTCAGATCTCTGAAGGAAATTCTAGCTTGACAGCTTTGTAAGCTGTCTTGTGCAACTCAGACAAAAGGAGCAGGGTGAAATTGAGGTGCATTTTGTCAGTGTTCCCTTCTCTTCTGCTCTGCACTAGCAGTCATGCAAAGCACCAGCCTGTTTTTATTTTTGTTTTTTCTGGTGAGGGTTATTACAGGACCTGCAGGAGCTCAGGACAAGCAGTTATTTTCATTCCTTGTTACTAGTATCTCAAGTCTTTGAATGACAATCACTGATCTCCTTCAAACCACTTCTGAGGACATTTTCTCAGGCTTCATTTCCACTCTCTACTCTCTCCAAAGTAGTCTGAAAGTAACCCACCAATGATCACTCTGCTGACCTTAGGAGCTGAGATCACAACCAGTGCTCTCCCTCCACATGACCAATAACAGCATGCAAAAATGTATCATTCAATTAGTGCACCATGCAAAGTAACATTAGGTCTAGAGCAACAATAACAAAAATCTCCATTCCATCCAAAAGGAAGTGGAGTTAATTTTTAGAATTCTTTGTGAACATTTGTCTGGTAATTTCCCTCCCCCCCCCCCCCCCCCC